ATGCATCATAGAGCTGTAGTCGCATCAGGTCGTGGTAATCTTGACTTGTTTCTAGGGGAGGACCTGTAATCCACAAACTGGGATGGCGACTCCTTGGCTCGTCAACCAGACTTTAGTGACCCGCTAATGAGCCCCTGCTTGAACTATAGGTCATGGGAAACACTGGATCGGTTCGATAAAGCAAGTGTGGTCTGTAGTCCACAGTTGAACGTGGAGTACCCCGTGATTGTTGATTGAATTCTTGAACCATATGGATCCATTTCCCATCATATTAATTTAATTGTGTTCATTTTATTATTAAATTATTTTAGATTTATTATTTGAATTTTTATAAGTCATTTGATATTTTATTTCTTATTTTTGGACTTATAAAAAAATGAAATTATTAATTTACAAAGTTATAATGTTTTAAATTTTATTTTGTTTAATTTTAAAATATTTATTAAAAAAAATACATGGAGGCCCATAGTGCACATGGGCCCACCATGTGGGTATTAGGTGGGGCCCCACATACGACACATGGGTGGCATGCCCCACCCTTGGATACCTTCTCTTGTTGCTCTGTCTTCAAGTTTATTAAATATGGTAACTATATCTTGTAGCATATGGTCACTATATCTTGTAGCATATGGTCAAATATCGATTAGGAAATATTGACCATATCTTATATTGATTATTGAAGGAATATTTTAACTTGATATTATTAAAATATTCTTAATAAAAAATATGAGACGGAATATGCAATTTATAGTATGCACTATATCTCTAATGGATTTAATTTATTTAAATATATTGATGGGAAAATGGTTTAAAGAAAGGGGAATAATGGTTCATACACTTTTCTTAATGTTGATGGCCCATTTATGGAATGGATGGCTCAGATCTCTCACCCCACAAGTCACCTTGATCAACAGTTCATATTCAATATTAAGAAATAGGCAAACTATGGGAAACCTTAAAAAAACCTAGACCTAAATTTCACTATAAATGGGGGTGCTCGCCCCCTCATCTCAACACACCTCACTCTCTCCTATAAACTCTCTCTCTCTTCCCTAGGGGCCATGCCCCTCTATCTCTACTCTCTGATTTTTTCTCTCTACTCTCTCTCTCTCTCTCCTAAAAGACACTAGGGGGCACGCCCCAACATAGAGACTCTCTTTCTCTCATGATCTAATCTAAGGGTTGGGAAAATTAGGATTTGAGCCTAATTATTTTGGAGTTAGAGTTTGTAAAGATTTTAGGGTTACCTAGTTTGGTAGAAATTAGTTTCCCGGTTCGATATTGAAGCTAGACTGCTAATCCAACGCCATTGGATGTGGTGACTCTGTGTGGGGTATAAAAAGCCCGGTTGAGGTAATCTCTGACATCTATTCTTTTAATTGTTTGTTCTTTTATTTTATATTCTCAAGCACAATATTAAGTTGTATGAATGACATCAAGTAGTTGAGATTTATTTTATTGATATGTTATTTATTTTTGGAATTTCTATTGTTTGTAATAAGACCATCGGTGAGTGATCTTGTTGCTAAAATTAGAAAAGGTGATTATTATTAAAAAAAAAAAATTATATATTTCTCTAACAAAAGATTACATAGGTCTTTCTTTCAATAACTCCGATTAATACACACTACCCATTTTAGGAAGAAAGGAACCATGTTGAGTTCATCTTTACTCTTTCTTTCTAAGAGGTCACTAGTTATTGATCTTAGGCCTCATACATTTATCTTTATTCTAATATTTTTCACTCATAACCAAAGTCAGTCAGCGTCAACACATGATACAAGAGTGTGGTGCATCTAGGTAGGTAACAATAATGAATACGTGTGTGTAGTTTAGGAAGGAAAACAACTATTTTGGGTTTGATGTGACTGCAATCAAACAAGTAGCTTGTGCTCATCGTGTTTGAAATAATTTATTTTTTTGTAGTTTTTTTAATTATTCTTGTGAGCTTCTTTATTGGGTTTTAAAAAATGAGTGTGCCAAGTTTGAGGCAAAACAATTACTCTTAGCGGTCCCGTCGGCTTTTTTTTTTGTGGGTAATTTAGCGGGGAAGAATTGGCCATACCCTTTTTTTTTATTTTTTTTATTTTTATTTTTTTTTGTTTTTTTATTTTTTTTATGGGTACTTTAGTGGAGTAGGAGTTATATTTTTCAAGTTATTAGTGGGGTTATTGTGTTAGTGGTAGGAATGGAGACCAGAATGTGGTAACTAGTATAGGGGATGCATTTTTGAAGTTATTAGTGGGGTTGTGTTAGTGGTAGGAATGGAGACCAAAAAATGATAACTAATGTAGGGGATGTTATCACCGCAACACCGGCTTTTTTTTCCAACTGGCCTTTTACCAATCAAATATTATCCTTATAATTATATGTTCAGGAATTTGAATTACGTGGAGACTTATAAAAGAAGGATTTGTATTTAATCATTGACCGGCTCATTAATGTACGAAGCAAGGTTTAAAAAAGGCCGTTATAGTAAGTTATAATTACAATTAAAGGAGAGGTTAAATTACTGCTGTTAAATGAGGAAAAAGAAAAGTTAAGAAACAATAAAAACAATGGGAAAAAGTAAAAAGAAAAAAGTGGGGAAAGAATACTAATTTTATATGGTTTTTACTTTGGGCAAGCTTTATATGTTTCTTCTACATCATAAACTTTATAAACTTCTCCTTATCCAACCGTCCATTTTGAATGGAGGGTTAAGATTGCCCCAATCACAATATCACATCTCTACATTATTTTATTTTAAATTTTTTTTCTATAAACTATTTTGACACTAAATTTTGTATGTCCAATCCTTTATTAAACTTTCACCAGGAAAAAGACAAAAAAAATATTTCCAATAAAGTAAAATGATCAGAATACCCCTAAAATTTCAAGGGATATTTTGGTCATCATGTTTTATAGAAAAATTATTTTTAATATTTTTAATAAGTTCGCCCCAATGAGAAGATGGCACATACTAAATTTCATATTTACACAATTTGCATAAAAAAAAAAGCTAAAAATAAAATGCTTGAGACGTCGGATCTAAGATCAAACAGTGAGTGGCTCTCTTGATCAAAATTGGACGGTTGGATGGTAGGGGAAGCATAGATCTTCTATATTATAAGGGAAGATAGATGGCCTAATTTGTTGCAATATATATTATTTTTAGAATTTAAAATCCTAAATTTTTTACGTAAACTTATTGTTCAAGCTAAGATTATGAGGTTTTTCAACACTGAGAATTACAATTTTTGTTGAATTATGAAGTGAGGCTTTACTAATTTTGATAAAGCTGCAGCCGTATGAAACCATTTTGCTATATTGAGGATCGAGTGTTATGTTATCGAAAAAAAAAAATCAAGAGAGTTGTTAGGGGTGATATTAGACATTTTCAAAGTCAAAATGGGCGGATTTCCAGGGTAGAGAGAAAAAGAGTTAGAGAGAGAGAGAGAGAGAGAGATGGGGGAGTGAGATTAGGTGCGTAATGTGTCAGGGTGGGTGAGAAAAACAAAAGGAGCATGCGAAGAATGCAGAACTAAAAGACATATAAAGCCATTCAATTACAATTAAAAAACCACCGTTTTTCATGCAGGGGACAATTATTTATTTATTGTTTTCAACTCCTAACCCCACTAGGCCCCCTCTTTTTTCTCCATTTCTTTCCTAAATTTACCCAAACAAAAACTACAAATGATGTTTTAGTGGACTAAGAAGAAGGATGATGACTCAAACAGGAGGAGGTGGGTTGTACAAGATAGATAGTCAATGTAAAGTTTTCTTAAAAACTTTTTAGGAACCTCGAAAGTCAATGTAAAGTTTTGTTAGAACGTTGTTTGAGAGTAAGACCAACATTTATATAGCTGGAAAAAAGCTAATAATAATGATAATATTAGTGTCTTACACCATAAATTTCTCTTTTATTTTTATTTATTTTTTGTTCAAGTTTATTTCAATTGAAACTAATGTTATAATCATGAGAGACAAAAATGTTTAAAGTAGTAAATATCCTCTTGTTGGTTGGTTATGGTTAGACTTCTCTTCTTCATAGAAAGATAAAAAATTGAATTCACCTATTTATTAGTAATAAATAATCTTGTTATGGTTTAAAGATTCATTACTCATCTTGAGGAATAAATAATCTTGTTGTCACTTAAAAATATATATCACATTGAATATTTTCGAATTTATGTTTCTAGGGAGGTCATAATATTTATACAGAGTGATTTATACATAGGGAAAGCATAACTCCTCAATTTTGTTACACATTAATACAAATGGAAGGTTCCCTTACAAGCCCCACTTTGGAAGCCATTTTTTCACTTAACTATCGGTAAGTATTTTTCCATCCTCTTGTTCTCACTATAAACAATGGAAGATTTGAACATCACTTGAAAACTTACCTTGGATATACAAGAATTGACACTTGTGAAGGAGCAAAAAGGGCAAAAAAAAAAAAACCAGTAAGAAAGAAGGAAAATTGTTTCATGCGGGCTGGACCGCATGACTATATACATGCGGTCCAAAAAGTGTAAAGCATCCATTTTAAAAATGGATGTCAATAGGTATTTCATCTAAAAACATTAGAAGCTAACTGTTCAAATGTTTTTTTACTAGAATTATTATTTTTAGTTTTTAAAATTTACTTATTTTTTTATATTCATGATTTCCATTTTAGAGATTACAAGTCTTTCAAAATTACGTGCAAAAATCCATCTCAAAAATAGATTTATTAATAAGCCTGCATTTCTACATATGCAGGCTTGACCGGATAGAAATCAAGTACAATAAAAAAAAAAAAGAAAAAAAAAACGAATGCAATACCGTATTATGCACCGTTGGTGCACAGTGAATGATACACCATGATTCACACTCACCCAAATAATGTACATATACCATCTTTCAGTCTTATTTGCCATTTATATAAAAAAAGAAGTATTTTTATAGGTTGCAACCCTATAAATAAAAAAAAAAAAATCACATCTAAAAACTGCAGTTTTGGTTTCCCAAAACATTAAAGTCCGTCCTCTCGACCCTGACCGTGATGGTTGGTAAAAATGGTTTAGACTTCAAGACCTATTAACACATTATCTACACCGTCTATTTTGCTTTTGCCCTAAAGATAAGTGTTCATAGATCGAGCTGAGGCCTTATTTTGTTTTCATAAACCCTAAGCTTGCATCGTGAGGATGGGTATGAGAGGGGGTACTTTGGTCATTTGTGGAGTCCACATTTGACAAAAATCGTTAAGGGCAGTTTGGTCTTTTTCTAAGGATATGTGAATCCAACCGCGAGAGGTGCCGAAAATGGCATTTCGAGGCCGAGAAAAGCGTAAAGAGACGGAAAAAGAGGCCGCCCGCCCGCCCGCCTGCCCGCCGTTGTACACAGAGGCAAGCGTTCAGACTCTCTCTCTCTCTCTAAGACGATGCAATGAAGGCGCGCTTGCGGTTGTAACCACGATGCCACTGCGCCGCTCACTGTCGGCCGCGCCACCCCCACGACGGCTGCTGGTGGCGGAGTCCAAGCACCACCACCGCCGCCTCCGTCCGATTCCTCTCGGCCCTTTATTGGCTGGCACCGCTGCCATCTTCTTGGCCCTCCTCCTCCTCGTCATGCTTGTCCTGTTCTTGTACAGACGCAAGCTTGCGTCTCGCTGCGGGAAGACGGTCCCTGCTGATGCGAAGCTCAGGAAATTCAGCTACCGAGCGCTTTGTCGAGCCACCTCCTCCTTCTCCCCCACTTGCAAACTCGGCCAGGGTGGCTTTGGTGCGGTCTTTCGTGGAACGCTGCCCTCTGGCCATGATATCGCGGTGAAGCTCATGGATGCTGGCTCTTTGCAAGGGGAGCGGGAGTTCCAGAACGAGCTCTCTGTTGCTCCGGCTCTCTGCTCGTCTCCTCTTGTTGTTGCCCCTCTTGGCTTCTGCTCCCACGGGCACCGTCGGCTCCTGGTGTATGACTACATGCACAATCGTAGCCTCCAATATGCGCTCCTTGACCGCAAGGGCCCTGAGCTTGCGGCCTGGCCCAAGCGCCTCTCTATAGCCCGTGACATTGCACATGCCTTGCATTTCCTGCACGCTGCCTGCGACCCCCCCATTGTGCATGGTGACATCAAGCCGAGCAACGTCCTCCTCGATGCACAATTCACTGCTCGCCTCGCTGATTTTGGCCTTGCCCGCCTCAAGACTGAGCCTTCTGCATCGCCTAATCCACCTCTCGATGGCTGCTCACCCGAGCCTGATGCCTCACCAGATCCCCTGGCATCACCATCCGGTGCTCCTCTCCCAGCTGACTGCAAGAGTGTCGATCAGGAGACTGAGTTGGAGGAGAAGACGAGCGTGTTCTCTGACAACACTAGCATTGACAGTGGCACAACACCAAAGCCGGGTTGCCGGAACAAGAGCAAGGACTGGTGGTGGCGGCAAGAATCAGGCGTGAAGGAGGAGTACGTGATGAAATGGATTGGGACTGAGATCAAGAAGGACCCACTCAGGGCCAGTGGTCGCTGGGCCGACAACGATAGTGGCAAACAAAAGAAGCAGCAGCGGAGGCGGGTGGACTGGTGGGCGTCGCTCGACGAGGGGCGGCTTCGGAGGAAGAAAGAGAGGGTGCGGCGTGCCAGAGAGTGGTGGCGAGAGGAATTTTGTGACGAGCTGAGCAAGAAGAGCAGGAAGCGCTGCAAGGAGTCCGCAGACCCCCGCTTCTGGTGGCAGGATGAGGCCTCAAATTCAGGCAAGACGCGGCGCAAAAGGAAGAGCTGGAGCAGCAGGGGTAGCATGGACTGGTGGACGGACGGGCCCAGTGGTGAGATCCCAAAGAGCGGAGGCACAGTGAGCAGCACACCAAGCATGAGGGGCACTGTATGCTATGTTGCCCCTGAGTGTGGAGGCGGGGCCTCAGCATTATCGGAGAGGACTGATGTGTACAGTTTTGGGGTTTTGCTATTGGTGATTGTTTCAGGGAGAAGGCCACTGCAGGTGGCAGCTTCTCCTATGGCTGATTTTGAGAGGGCAAACCTAATATCATGGGCACGGCATCTCGCACATGTCGGGAAGCTTCTGGAACTGGTGGATCCGGCGTTGCACGCATTTGATCGAGCCGAGGTCCTGCTATGCATTACAATTGCGCTGCTCTGCCTGCAGCGTGAGCCGGTGCGGCGCCCCTCAATGGGGGAGGTGGTGAAGATGCTGGAGGGGGAGGCGGAGCCACCAGTTCTCCCTTTCGAGTTCTCGCCTTCTCCGCCATCTGGGTTTTCATTCAGGTCCAGGCGCAAGGCTCATTCAAATAATCCTCCAGAGCACCGGTGAGTACTTAAATCAAGTTATTGGTTTATTCTTCAAATTCCAATGTGATTTTATACTGCTTTCTTCTTTTCCATTCAAACATGTATCCATATAGATGTTCTGATTACCTCTCATTGTTCAATGGTTTATGGAAATGGCATATTTTCTTGTTCGTTTTTTATTATTGCGTGTAAGTAGTTTACTTGACTGTTTTTCGTGCAGAATTTTGGTGGATCAGAGTCAGACAGACATTTCTGGCCTAAATGATCCCATTTGATCGAGACCCATGCTCGAGATACCAGGGATTATTAATCCAATGGAGTTGTTTTGAGGGGGAATGTAGTAAAAAGTTTGCTCTGGGCCACAATGTAAAAGACACTGATACGAAGTGATGGCGAGCACCGAACCACTACTGTCGTTGGGACTGCAGACACAAAGTTCGTCTTGGATTTCAGGGATCCGAGGCATCGTTGTAAAGTTTTATTCTGCCCTTCCCTTCCCAACTTTCTCATCTTGTTTGTATTTTGTTGGTGGTGACACCTCCCAAATCAATAAACTTTATTTTTCTCTTTGAGATGGAATTATGAGTTTTGCTTTATACAATGAGGGTCCACCGTCTGTGGTCACATTGCATTTTGTGTGATTAACTTTTGATGTGGGCCAAACCTTGTTTCCTTCCATAAATCTTTATGACCCATACACTCGATACAGAAACTGTAGCTATTGAGGTCATTAGTTACTGTGAACTTTACAAGTTTATGTTTTGATATGCCTACACAATACAATGGGGCATAAAGTGAACTGCAAAGTGGAATTTAGAACTTTTGTGCAAAAGAGTTTATGCTTTAAGTTCTTCCTGCTTTGGCTCTGAGATTTCTATCTGTTGTTGATTGGTTTTTAGTTCCACCATCTTGTTTTTAGCCTCTTGGGAGCAACTGTAATGGTAGGTGATGCAGTCTACGCCATGACAAATTGTTAGCCTCTTGGAAACACTACTATAACTGTTGGTGTGCAATAACTGCTTTTGAACAGTCTTCTTCTGAAAAAAATCCTCATTGTGAATTATTTGTCACACCATGGAATTTTTTTCTGCTGAATAGAGATATGCCACTCTTCGTACTTGTTTGCAGATTGGATTAATCTCATAATTACAAGTTATCAATTATTGATCCTTTTTAGGTCGTGACATATTTTGCCTGAGAGTAAGAGTGCCGTTACACTATGAGGCATATATGGGGTCCACAACATGATTTAACAAGCACAAAGCAAAGAAGATGCACCAATATATATATATATATATATGGAATAAGTTTATATAAGGATGCAACCATATAATGTAGAACTACAGATGCCCCTCAAAAATCCATCGGAAAAGGTAGTTTTAATGTTGAAAAACCCTTTGATTGATCATCTCGACATCGAGATGTATGACTATGAAAAATAAAAAGATTTTAAGTCTCAGAAATAGTGCATTTTACAACATATTATCTACACCACCTATACCTATTTCAATNTTTACATATTAGTTATAGTATCTACTCCACCTTCTAGTTTGGTTTCTTTCTTTACTATTACGTTCCTAAGTTACGTAAACGT